AGGGGACATGATGTAAAAACTGATCTTAACAAAACTCAAATTCGACAAAATAAAGCTCTTAGGGAAATAGCCAATGATGCTTGCTATATAAGAAACAGCACATTCCATACCGATTTAAAAGTCGAACCCATCCAAAAATACATTTCGAGAACAGCTCCCAATTTTTACTACAACACTAAACATCATCAAAGCACTGTAATTTCATTTCAAAATCAGGAACCACAACCTCAAGAAAAGCACGTTTAACCAGCTAATAAACCTTTCTTTTATAATTATAAGTATCGTTTTAAAGCGGTATTTTGACATGTTTCAAACAAAGAAAAATTTAAATATTTTTAACCGGATATCTCACTGTTTACACGGAGTAGATGATGCTACTTCCTTGAGTTTCAAACTACTATATGTTTTTATACAAAAGCGGTAGACCGTAATTTACATCTTTACCATACTACGAATCAGACTTTAGTGGCCAAAGATAAGTAATAGCAATTTCTCAACAAATCTGAGACACTCGTAAGTTTTTAGAAAAACCCTCTGTTTTTGCGAGGAAATCTGGGAGTTCCTAAAATTAGGAATTTGTTCATCACTCTGCAAAAACTTTAGTAAAATCTAGTCCACGAACGGATAATTTCGAATTATCTCTTAATTCCCTCCCCCCAGTGGCAAGTGGAAAATTCTAACCTCAAAACTGAAGGGAAAAAAATCCGAAGTTTTTATGAAACCATTTTTTTAATCTAAATATAATATACACACATTTTTAAGCGGCGCAAGAAACATTAAAAAAAAATGCCAGCGATGATTACGAAGAATACACAGTAAAGAGAAAATAGGTTATTCGGTCACTTTTTCCCTGCCAACCAAAGTGAAAGCTTTTTATTTCTTTTTTTCCAGTCGTTTATAAAAAAAAGGCCTGAGAAAAACTTTAAAAAAATATTTCTCTCTCTCTCTCTCTCTCTCTTTTTTTTTTTTTTTTTTTAATCCCCAATCATCAAACGGTCCCCCCAAACGAAAGGCTCCAGAATCAAGAATGAGTGAAGGTTACTTTGCACCCGGATATACACCGCACGAGAAATTTAACAGAGATTTTGGAGTTGGATGGGGAATGTTGGAAGGGTATGGGAAGGAGGGCAGAACTCTAGCAGATGCAACCTTGATTTGGGCCCTTTACTTTCTGATGCTTCACTTCCTTTCCGACAACGGGCGATCGGGAGCTTCCGGACGTGATTTTTTTTTTAAGCTTAACACCCTCTTAAAGATGCCTAAAATCGGTTTCCCAAGAAATAATTTCTTCGAAAACGAATAAATTGAGAGGGGAAAAGATCTCTAAACATTTTTAAAAGGTTATTATTTTAAATATTATTATAATAAAAACACAAAACATATTTTGATATGCTGCAGAACTTCCTTAAAATGAGAACGCTGACAGACATAATTTCCAATAAGACGGGGAAACAAAACATTATGAAACAGCCGACAATATGAGCAGATCATTTTCTATGACCAATACTCAGAAAAGGTTGTACAACTGTTTAACTTCAGAAATTCACTTTTGATTCCACCAAATTTCTTTATTTGCAGCTACATAAGGACACTACATACAAAGAGAAAAATACAGTTTTCTTTCCGAGTGTCTCAAATTAACTTATCTATAGAAATGATTCCTATGGACAAGTTTAGTAGTTACGGAAAAAGATAAAAAAGGAAGTACGCTTCGCCTAGGAAGTTAAGCATTACTTTGTATTGGGCAAAATCGCGAACGTTCCATCCAGCTTGCCTGTTAGCAATCGGGATCCGAATCCAGAACGAATACTAGTGTTTCCTTCATCTACTACTGGCCATTAAAACTGCTACAAAAGGAAGACGGTATACCACACACGTGAAATTTGCTCGACAGGTAGAACATACTGTGAATGTTCAACCGATTAGACTTTCAGCGCATTCATGCAGAGCAGGCGGCAGTCGCGACACCTACAATATGTATAAAACCAGAGATTTGACAGAAGTTTTCTCCCTCACCTGCAAGCTTTCCTCCTAGACTCATCATTAAGCATTCAGTCAACTAGTAACGCTCACAGAACACCACACTTGATGACAGCCAGAAAGCAGCTTGCATACTGTAAGCTAATCGCCTCATATAGCAATCACTGGAGTTGGAGCTGGTAGTTTTATTCATACTCAATTTGCATTTGAAGTTGTTTTCAGCTAAGATAGTTGTTGTAATGTGAGTGGAAGAAATGCCTATCAGCATGTGTCTGACTTTGGTCGAGGAAGGATTATAACCTACTAGAATTGCGGTTTATCGTACCGCAATACAGCTGCTCGCATCGGTCGAGATCCCATTACTATACGTAGAGTATGGAATCGATAGGTTCAGAACAGTCATACGGAACGTCGTGCAAAAATCTCAATGAATCCTCCCCATAACTAACAGCCGAGAAGACAGACATGTTTATTCGCATAGTCAGAAGTGATCGTGCAGCCACGTCACGAATCCTGAGTCCAGAAACAAGTCATTTGTAAGATAATAGGTTTCTGCACGAATAGTTTAACGACATTTTGGCAGCATGGACTGTCAGCACGGCGACCATGGCTTCAGCTACTCTTGACGCTGCGTCACAGACAAAGCAAGAATGGCGTCATGTCATCTTTACAGACGAATCCCGCTCCTACATTCAGCACCATGCTGGCCGCATCCGAGTTTCTCGCATTCGTGGAGAACGCAAGTTACCAACTAGCACTGGACATCGTCATACTGGCTCATCACATGGAGTGATGGTATGGGATGCTATTGGAGACACGTCTCTTGTTCACATTTCCGGCACTCTGAACAGCAACAGTTACATTTCTAACGTGTTATAAGGTCCGTGGCTCTATCTTCGAGGCCTCTCTAACGCTTTGTTTCAGCAGCAAAATACATGACCGCATGATTTCCGTACTTTCCTGCCCTTCTTCAATACAGAAAGTGTTCGAATGTTGCCTAGACCAGCACATTCACCTAATGCGTCGCCAGTTTAAAATGTGTGGTGAATGGCTCCGAGCAATTGGCACGCCAGCACTCACCTCCTTTACTGTCGATGAGCTATGACCTAGTGTTGAAGCTGCGTGGACTGCGGTCCCAGTACATGCCCTACAATAACTGTTTGATTCCATGCCCAGACGGATAAACGCTGTTATTGCTGCCAGAAGTGGCTGCTCTGGTTAGTGGTTTATCATGATCTACAAATTTAGTTCTACGAATTTATTTATTTAGTTATTACTATTAGTTTAGATCTACGGTTAGTGATTCTTGTATACGTCCTAATTTCCTATGAAAAATGATTAAATTGATAAATGAAAAATGCATTCCTTCCTGGTGTAATAATTTTAATGGTCAGTAGTGTACTTTCTTGAGACACTGGTCAATTAGCCACCAGTGTTTGCATATTCTTATCAATGGGCCATCGATATTTCCTGCGATTTTTGGTCATCGATTACACAGTGAACAATGTTTCCCCGTCCAATCGACGCTCTACCTATCAGTAACCCATCAGAGTTTCCCAGATATCCAATGGGCCACCAACATTTCTCTCTTTATCTAATGTGCTACTGATCAACGGACCACTAATGTTTCTCAGCTCTAGCCAATGTGCCACTAATCAATGGGCTACCAGTGTTTCTCAGCTCTAGCCAAATTACATTTTGATGAAAGTCGAGCTTAAGGAGGCCCACCAGCGGCCGAGCGGTAAAGTCGCTGAACACTGGTAGTTCGGTCCGAGGTTCGAATCCCGCGAACGGGCTGGCTGCATGGGTGTTTTCGTGGTTTTCCCATTTGTAACGTGTATACGAGCCAGTTTCCCTTAGAAAGTCCTCCACGAAGGCATCCCTCCCCTTAGGCAGATAGCCCTTGAGGCTTTTCTGTAATTAAATAACCTAACCTAACCGAGCTTAAGGAGTGCACACAAAGTTACACTTAACTAGTAGCCAAGCTTATATAGATCGAGCTTTTATATTTTATGGTATCAGGCCTTATAATGTACTAACTGAATTTCTGATTACATAGTACATATACGGACTACCGGTACATCGGCACCTTAAAAACTTCCGAGATTGCTGCTTGAAAGAAGTGAAAATTTTGAAGGTAAAAGCATCCGTCCTCGACAAAATTATTTCTTGCACTCGAAATACAAATGAAAAAATGGCAATGATGAAGGTCATAGAATTTTATCTGCCAAGATCTTCTAGTCCACAAACTGACGAGCAGGGAGAGTCACTGAACACTGAATTTAACTCGTGTTCAAATTCCGGCAAACGGGTTGGCTGTATGGGAATTTTCGTCGTTTTTCTCTATGTATAACGAAGATAAGAGCCAGTTTTCTGTAAAACGTTGGACACGAAAGCTTACCTTCTCTTGGCGGATACCATTACGTGAGTCACATAATAGTAAATCGAACATAAATAATATCAAACAAAAAGCTCATTCTTGATATAGTGACTCAAGAAAACAAAGAGAAGAGCATGAGCCTAATAATGAAGAGGAAGAAAAAGGAGATACAAGAATCTGCAGACAATCTATTAGGCTATATGGGTAAATAAAAGGACTCAACTGAACAGCTTTCTAGTGTTTGTCATATTACCTGAAAAGTGTAAAAAATTGAATCCCCAAAAGGCAGAAAACTGGTAGATCATTGCCTTTCAAAAGAAAATGAAACATCTGAAAGGTTGATTTGTTTATGACAGCCGTCCATAACCAGTTTCACAGAAGCATGTTTGTATTATTCGTGTTTTCCGGTAATTTATGTGCACACGTACATTAATTAGCATCAGTAATCGACAATAGATGTAAACGGTACATTTCTGTACTAAAACATGAACCAAAGAGAACGGTTCTTTAGTACAGAACGGTACATTTCTGTACTAAAACACTGAATTTCCTCATTCCCCTTTAAGAATTCTTTCTCGGACACTTTTGATAGCTGCAATAGCACAAAGCTGTGTATAAAGGGTAAGGATGTTCAACTTACCATGTTCAGAGCGAGTTGAGAAGTCTGAAGCAGATCGACAACACAGATCACCACCTGTAATAAACAAATAAGAAACATTAAAAAAAAAAAAAAAAAAAAAAAAAAAAAAAGCATTCAAGTAAATGTTAAAGAACACCTCCTTAAAAAAACAAAACAAAAGGCAAGTTCAAGGTTGATGCCAACACGACGAGTAAAATCACGCGCTTGCCACGCGAAATTAACCGTCTCCATACACGAAAGGTTAAAAAAACGCGATTTCGAGATTAGACAGACGATCCGGCACAGTCTTACGGCTAGTTGTGCTCTGCAAGACCAACATGATGGTTAAGTCACGAGCATACATCGAAGTGTAATCTACGGATGAAAAATTTAAGAGAAAATCAAGTATCTTTGAACAACACAACTTTAATAAACATATACACATATACCTGCGCTGAGAAGTTAGCTCTGTTCCATCCATCCCTCCAACCAATGCAAATAATACTTAGTAATCCCGACTTTTAAGATCGTCTCATTGCGAACAATTTTTGAAGAAATTTTTCTACAGTTCTACAAAATTTCGTAAGTCATTCCCCACTTAGGATCACTTTTATAAATCAGAATGCTCGCCGGACTACCTTACGGTTGCCTCCTTATTAGCGTTTTTTTTTTTTTTTTTTTTTTTTTTGTTGTTGTTGTTCTTGTTTTTTGGCATATGTTACTAACAGTAGATATTTTTAAAATGCAATCAATTAAAATTCGCTTAACTTTATATTGGTATTAATCTATTTACCTAATAAAAAGAAATTTTATAATTGTTTCTAATAATCCAAGGCTATTAGAATTTGGACAATCTTTATCTTGTTAATTAAAAATTAAAATAATGTTGTTACTCAAATTAATAACTTAAATGAGCCTGCCGATTCTTGCACAGCTTTTCTGTGTTTAACTGTATGCTGGTAAGCGTAAGTCTTGAGATCGGCACATATAACAAACTGATTTCGGTTTTATTTTTGCTAGTGATGGAAACCCTTCTCTTACAGAGATACATAAAAGAAAACTGAATTTTAAAGCGTCATTGTACAGTTCACTATATTCCTTTTACACTGGTAATGAAGTTCAGAAATTAACAATATCTTCTGCTTGGAATTTCATTTTAAGTCTGGTGTCATTAGAGAATTCATTTAACTGTTTTCTTTCATTCCACGACAGATTGTTAGTTTCAAAATTGCAATTAAAAGAATCAAGAACCCGTAAGTTCTAAACAGTGACCATAGATATTCAAGATGCGAACATATGTCATTCATGGTTCTTTTCCAATAACCATATAATTTGCTACTAGAAACGAATCTAACGTTGGAAATGGTGAAAATTTTTCTGTTTTACATAACTAACCTCCAAGCCAAGATTTTCTCAAACGCCTTCAATTTCTCATGGGCATATTAGAAAAAGTGAAATACCTCGTAGATAAGGGTTCATTTACGATGAATTTTGGGTTCACTGATTTTATGAAGTTTTCAGGAATATACGCTACCAAGAAATGTTAAAAATATCCTTAATTTCTTTAACAAATAACATTTTTGCAAGTCTAGGAGGACTACAATGCTAGACTTCAGGACCAATTGTGGACCGCGGACCACAGCTTGAGACACGCTACTTTATAGAAATGTTTCTCTATAATATTCTATGGATATTTAATAAAGCCTTTACAGAATGCCATTCCAAAGAAATCTACGAAGTTTTCAAACTGTAAATAAAGGAAATTTTTAGCTTTCGATATTCTATTTGTGATATAGAAAAGCAAAAGTAATCAGTACTTTTTGGCCTTTTCCCCCCTTCACTTAACGTTTTATAGCTTCTAAATTTATGTCACATTTTGTGCAATTTTTTGTACATACGTATACAATACAAAAATTAAATCTTGCAAGAGCGTAAAATTAATTTAAATCCTAAAAATCAATCAAAACGATTATACAAAGAATGTTCACACACTTTTTGAACGATTTCGGGAACTGGGCCATATCAATCAATAAATCATATTAAACTTTAAAAGACCCCTCTTGGGTGATAGTTAAAATCTGAAAAATTTTCTTATCTTTTTTTTTTTTTTTTTTCCTTTTATTTAAAATTTTGTTCAAATCGTAACGCACTTTTATGATATTTTGAAATTTCTAATTTTCATACATTCTGCGCTCGAAAAAGAAATGCAGAGCCAAACACCGGAGCATTTTAAAATTCTTTTAATCTGAGTTGCTTTAATTTCATTCAACACTGATTCACTTTAGTGAATAGGCAAGTTCACATAAAGGAAGGTATATTTTAAGAGGAGAAATGAAGTACCAGCATAATTTCTGTTACATATTTTAAACTGTTTTATATATTTGATTTTTTTTTTAACGGTAAACGGTTTTCCGAGTGCTTACAATCTAAACTTTTCAAATCGTTTTTATTTTTATTTTACTTATTTTTAGCCTGAAGGGTTATTAGTCTCATGCAGTGTCCACGCAACAGTGCATGCTATATAGAAAAAGATAATGCTTAATTCCTTCTGTGCTACATTTCCACTTATTTTACCATTGCAATCAGCTAGTTTTCCTTGAATTGAACAAGTGTTGTAATTTACAAACACCTGGATAACTTTTCTGGTGTTATCGTTTTCATTTTGCTCAAGGTCTCGGCATTGAAAATCAAGTCCGAGGCCGAAACAACTTTTCCTAATTCACATGAAATAACAGATTTCATATTTATCTTCAATATTCTAAATAAGTCTTTTACACCATATTTTACATAGCTGATAGTTACAGAACTGGCCGAATTCTCTGCAATTAAATTTTGTAGCAATATATAAACTGTAGGACACAAGTTAGCAATCCAGTTGGCTAACGGCAGATCGTGGTTCGATTCCACCTTTAATTAACAAAGTTCATGCTCTGTTACTGGATTTCCTAAAATTAAACACAATCCAAATATTAAATTCTACATATATTAGAAAAGGCGAAGGGATAAAATGCGTGTGTCGTAGGTGCACTCAACTGAACAATGTTTTTGTTTACATAGCTTTGAGTGAAGAACAGATTACAGATGGTACAAATCAGGTTAAACAATAACAGAAAACCGTTGTCATTTAGTGAGTGACAAAACTTTTCTATCAAACATTTTATCGCCTGCACTGCAGTAAAAACTGTACATTTCAAACAAAATGTACGGATAATAATTTGAGCGAAATTTATAGTACAGGTAAGAAATAAATTTATCACTATTGGCAGATTAATACTATTTAATAAAAAAAAAAAAAAAACCTTTGCATCAGCGACCTCTATGTTGAAAATATGACATTATTCTCAGTACGGCAGTTAAAACTAACGTCAAACTAAGTTATTACAAAGCTGGAAATTGTTCTTTTCAGCTTGAAAACATCTGTACAGCACCAAATTTTAAAAGGGGTAAAGCGGTGCTCAAGGGAAGCGTACAAATTTTAAAACATTCGCGCACATCGATCAATAATACATTTTCTATTCCCCATAAAGGAAGCACAGCTGTTTTATAAAAAGGGTTTTTTACCCTTCTTTTAAAAAATGAATTCCCTGCGTCCTTCAAAGTTCGCGCAGAAAGAACAAATTCAAGGTTACAACAAAAGAAGTAAAAATTTAAAAAAAAAACCTATTTTCTGACGCAGTTCCGTTTACATCTGTCCTCTTCACTTCCGGTCGGTCGGCTGTTTAGAAAACATCTTTTGACCTTGATAATGAAAATCTGCTCTTAGCTGTCAGATGTTCCAATACTACATTCTCAGGTGGTAATTTCTATGCATAACATTAAATAATACATTAACAAATACTTCCGGAATGAAATTTAAAATTTTCAGAATATTACATCCTAGATTTAAGGGTTTTTTGGACCTCCAAAACAGCTTTAATTTTTGTTTATTCACTATTGGGGAGAGTGGCAGGGAAAGGGAAGGATTTTTCCGGAAGCGACGAAATCTAAAGTAAAAAAACTCTCTACTATAATTTGAAAAATTCAGATTAGAGCTAAAATTAAAAATAAATAAATAAATAATAATAAAAAAAAAAAACACTTAGCTAAAAGTTTAAAAACAAAAATTCCTAATAAAAAAGAAGTGGCTGCTGTTTTTTCCAACTCATAAAACTAAATCTTTACTATAGATTAAAATAAAAACTTCTCGAAAGAATTTCAGTTAAAAGATTAGGTGCTTGTTTTCTACATTTCTCCTTTTAAGCGCAAAATTCTATTTAAAAATAATAAATAAATAAAAATTATCAAAATATTTTAAATGTATATTACGTCATTTTCATGAAACGTAAACAAAAGAAATACGAAGAAAGGCTTACAATCTGTAATAAGAACCCGAGTCGAACTATCAGTGTTCAGCGAATTTACTGCTCTACTGCTAGTGGGCTGTTGGGACACTAAACTAAAGTTAGTTTTTCATCTGGAGAAAGGATTTAATATTATTTATTTTTAATTGCGAAAAAGGTGCTAAAAGTATAGATTTTATATATTCTAAAAATGAAAAAGTTTTACGATAATTTAAATAATTCAAATTAAATTGTAAGGTATTTTCTCCCTCCTTTTCGCATGGCTTCGCGGTGTGATTGGAAGCGCACTCGACGCGCATTCGGAAAGTCCAGGGTTCGAGTCTCGTCTAAGGCACTGCATATTTTTCTAGGCCCTGCACCGATATAATCGAATGACTCTATGAAATAATAACATGAAACTCATTTGTTATTGTTATGTAAGTTCTTTTGGATGAGCGATAACGTGGTTAATCCAGGCAAATGAAAGAATTTTAACTTAACCGCAAACGAAAGACAAGAACAACAAAAACGTAATAATATACAAAATATTCATAGACAAAAATATTGAACAAAGGAAAGCGTAATAATATACAAAATATTCATAGACAAAAATATTGAACAAAGAAAAGCAGCTACAGGGAAAAAATAAAATTAGTTTCATTCTTCTGACGAGTTATGCCGGCATAAATACCTATAAAAACGTCTCTCGACTACTAGCGGAACTGTTTAAAAAAAGAAAAAAAAAAAATACAGTAC